TGAGGCCATACAGAACTGATCGCTGCCCTGTAAGTGCCCAGTGTCGAACCATAAGATGCCTTGTACTTCATAGTTAGCATGGGTAATCTGCTACTTGTGGTATAGTAGCTTGGCTGTGGAAAGCCCTGGATCTTGCAAACTGGTGAAAACTTTTCCATTTATCGTCACAGAGATTCTCGTTCATTGGCGAAGTGCTAAGGAGGCTGCCTTAGCTGCTCTAATGGAAAATCCTCAGCGAGACTGCTCTGGATATACTCCGTATGTGAAGTTCGTATAATTCTGGTCTTGGATGGACCTGATTGGAGGGAGGATGTAGCAGTAGATGTGACCAGTTTGGAAGTCTTAGTAGTGGAATCCCTGCCACTTTGACGAGCTCTGGAACCCAAATTCTTGTCGGTTAGAAGGCGCTACCAACAGCAGTTGTTGGTAGCTCGTGTGTAGGATCTTTGTAGTATCCGTGGTATCAAGGCTAGTGGGGGAAACGCATACACGTTTAGGTCCTCCCATGATATTATCAGAGTATCGACTGACCAGGCTAGTGGGTCCGGCGCTGGTGCCACAAAGTTATCTGGTGCAAATAGGGTTACTTGAAGACAACCTTTTCTTTTATTGCCAGTTGGAATGCTTCGGCCTTAGCTTACATTCTGTTGATGATTGTCCCCGTATGTCTTGCCTTTATCGCTAAGTTGAGCTTGTCTACCAAAGGTGAAAAGTCAACTGTAGAGGGTCTCTGATTACATCGTGTCTTAAGGTGTATAGTGTATGCCACAGTTGAAATGAGTGTCCCGATCGTCAGACGTTGGTTTCTTGACTGTGGGGTCCAATGAAATATTACCCGGATTACAGCCTCGTATTCCAGATAATTGATGTGGTAGAGCTGTATGCTTCTGACCATAGGTCTGATGTTACTTCCAAGTTGAAGTGAGCTCCCTGACCTTGAGGTGAGGTATCCATGAACAGCAGTGTTAGAAATTGACACTAGTCCTACAGTCCCTGCCAAACCGCCCAATAGTAAAGGTATCATAAGGACTAGTAGAATTTTGCCATTTTAAAGGTTTTGCTATATGCTATCATTATATGGACTAAAGTACTGTTTTGCTGGATTTAATAATCGACACAAAGCATTACGTAGATGTAAATACGAAATAAAAAACAATTGGAAAAGTACTAGTCTGGATTTGCTAGTTTTATCTCAGTGCTCAATACAAAATGTACTTTACAGGAGGTAATCTGTAGGCACTTTCAACATTCAAAAATAAAACTAAGTCCAAATTGACATGGCAGAAACAGGCTATAGGCATTATGCAAATTAGCCTTGAAAAAAGTTATCAAAACAACAATAAAAATAACAGCTATGTTTATGTACATAATATATACTGAGTCAAATTAAAAACTTCACATTTTTAAAAGTAATCCCATATATGATATATAACGGACAAATGTATCAGAGAAGGTAATTTTTAATCATTAATGTCCAAAGAAGGATTTTAATTAACGGTGGTAACCATAATTTGTTCCAAGCACCTACGGTATTCGGTAATAACATCAACCGTTTAAATCATAAGTCCCAAGCACGAGAATCTGATGGCACACAAGTCCAGTAGCGTGTATGGCCACCATGTGCGTTGACAACTGCCACACAACGCCTCCGCATGGACCTTGTGATGCTTGTGAACACATGATTGGGAAGACGACGCCATTGTGGCTGCAAAATGGTGCCAAGATCTTGCAAATTCTGTGGTTGGTTCTGGAGAGTGCGCAGACTTCTGCCAAGAGCATCCCAGATGTGTTCGATGGGATTGAGGTCGCCCAGTCCATGACGTTGACTCCCGCATTCTGAAGGAAATCCCTTGTCAAAATTGCTGTGTGGGGTCTGGCATTGTCGTGTTGGAAGATCAAACCGGGTCATGTGCTGCCATAATAGGCAGAAGTTCTGGTGCCAGTACCTGGTCGCGGTAAGCAGCAGCGTTGAGGTTGCCACGGATAACAAGAAGCCTGGAACGTGCATTGCCACAGAAAGCACCCCACACCATGACACTTCCGCCTCCAAATCTGTCAACTTCCTGTACACAACACTGGGCGTAACGTTCATGACGGCCCCTCCGCACCCTCGCCCTACCTATTAGCAAATCTAAGATTAAATCGGGATTCATCACTGAAGACGACTTGATTCCAATTCCTCTGAGTCCATCGTAAGTGTCGCTGTGCCCACAATTGACGTTGACGTCTGTGTAATTGAGTCAGAATCGGCCCGCAGTATGGCCGTCGTGCTTGAAGGTGAGCAGTTCTCAGACGGTTTCGAACAGTTTGCGCACTCAGGGAGTGAGTGAGTGAGTGAGTTGGATTTAACGCCGCTTTTAACAGTATTCCAGTTATATCACGGCGTGTCAGCTTAATGTTGGAGGAAAGCCCGAAGCGATGCAGGTCTCAGACGTTTACCACTTCGGTGAAACCCACGAGCACAGGTATGGTGCTGACAAACCTAGAAACATAATCGGGGCGAACCGGGATTCGAACCCACAATCATAGGTTTCTGGCGTGCCCAAGGGACGCAACTCTGCACAGCGAATCGCGGCGCCTTACACGACTGGGCCACCCGTGGCCCCTTGCGCACTCAGTCTACCCCTAAACAGTTCATTTCTGGTTGATGTAGCCGTCAAAAATCGGTTACAGAGGTGACGTAAGACAATCTGACAATCCTCTGCAATCATTCTTACCTTTTTAGCTTGCTGACGGGGTTAACCTCTTTGTTCATGTGGACATTTGAGCAAAATAAGCCTCAGTACCCTACTATGGGGCCCGAGACGTGCCTTCTGTTGACGGGGGAGTATACAACATTGTGACAATGCATTCACCATCACTCAGGGTCTCCACTCACACAATTCAAACAAAACCATTTGATATATATATATATACACAGCCAACTGACAAAAGCTGACGTTTAATAACTATTTTTAACTCTAATCAGAACATTTGTTGCAACTTTCTACACCACATGGACTTTAGGTTTAACTTAGTTGACAAACATCAGATACTTTAGATACTTAAATACATTTTTCAACATCATTTTTAACAAGATACAAAATGACATTAATTTCTAAGAAACAACAAACTTAATGAACATGTAAAAGAACTAATAAACCTAAACATAATTTAGTGTTTAAGTATTTAACTGACCTGTTCATTAAGTATGTTGTTTGTTCAACAGCGTGTTATTGACAACTTGATTGCATCTATGGGTCGTCGGTGTCAAGCGGTGATTGATGCACGTGGTGGGCACAACCGATACTGACATTTTCTGTACCCCTTTGACATTAACTGTATCGTGTACGTGTCTGTCTAGGTGACACGATTAATGTTTTGAACATTGTGTACATACAATGTTCAAAACATTAATCGTGTCAAACAGTGTTTCAATTATGGTTTCTGTGTCCTATTTTGAAACAATCGCATTATATTACATTTTGAAAGTCAGTGTCAAGTTTCTTTTTTTGAAGAGTATATATTACAAAAGTTATATCTGGGATAATATCTTCTCAGTAAAGTACATGCTCGTACTTTATGGGGTTGAGTCCCGTCCGGGATTCGAACCCACACTGCCAGAGTAAGGGACCTAATCGCCAGCACACAAAGTCAGCGATCTAACTAACTCAGCCACCGAGGCTTCCTGCGGGTAAGTCGTACTAGCGGGCGATCTGTAGGAGAGGCGAAACTGTCGGTCCTCCAAGGTACGATCTGACGGACTGTCCATCAGCGTCTTGTCGATAATGGTGTTGTAAGGTGATCTGTCGATCCCTCGGTCGTCTATGATCCAACGAAGGATGACGGTCCTGTCGATGAAAATCCGTCGTCAGTTGGCTATCATTTCTTCGCCGACGATTGTAGTGTTTTCGGTCAGACGGGTTGTCGCCATTAGAAAGCCGGAGAGGTGTAGCTGTATCCTCAGAGCGCTGCAGAAACGATGACAATGCAACCCTCTGGTGACGGCTTGACTTCCCAAGCTGAGTAAAGGGCCGTAGTCCAACACGATGAACTGGCCATTTAAAAGCAGGACTGTAGAAGCCAGGGAGCGTGCACGTGCACAGGGGCGTGGTCCACACAGAGGCGGGAATGCAGCAGTCAAACGATACGGAAAGCGATCCTCCTCTACTGAAAGCGATGTAACCATCGCCAAATTGACTAAAATTTTTGTTAAGCAAGAAAACGAAGGTACAACCACAGGGGATAACAATCGTTTGGGTTTCAAAGCGGAGGAAAGACAACATGCACGAAAACCGTAAACAACGCCTTGAACCGACGAACAGTCGTCTTTATCGAACACTTAAGCTTAGTAAGTTGAGATCCAATTCTGGCAGGTTGTACACAGTAGACATCGTTAATAATACCCCTCTCTCTTCGTGGTAATGGTAAACTTAGTAGTGAGGTCGTGCATTTAAATTTTATGTATAAAAAAAAAAAAAAAAAAAAATTCTCTGTTCAAGAATAACGTACGAACACCATAGCGATAGAATTGAGAGGTTGCTGGATATGTCAGGTGATGAGGTCGCGTCACACGGGATTTTAGTGGTGCGTGAACCATGAACACAGTGGTGATTTGGTGATGTGTGGGATTTGTTTGGCTGAGTGGTGTTTTTGAAGTTGGAAACTGCTCTAAGGACGTTTCCACACTAAGATCGAAGAATTAGAGGAAATGCATAGTGTGAGATAGGATAAGTTTAAAAATTCATTATTTCTGGGCCTTGTATCTGAAAGGCATCTTTTAAAGATTTTGAAAATGTTTAATTTGAAAAATATAAAAAAATGGAAATTTTGATTTGAATGCTAAAACATATCCATGTTTCCGATTCCTAGACCTTGTGGTTATGTGGAAGAGTTAGAAACATTTTCACAATGATGTTTGGATTTCTTGATGCCAGACATTCTCCTACAATTTCATTTGATTCATTAAGCTGGTTATGGACAGACAAGTGACTTCAACTCACTTGGACAAAAGACATATCTTTGTAATGGTCACTGTACTTTATTGTTATTTAAACAATGCATACACCACAACAAACAACATAACAAAATAGTAATAATGATTCTCACACTAACATGTTTGCTACAAGTCAGTTGTTGGGAGGATCATTTGTTGACAGCTCTGCACAGTTGTTTTCAGAGGTTCCTCTTGATGGGTAGTTTCATGGAACACTAAATACTGACGTAATGCTTGTACATTCTACTGCACAAGGAGAGTGCTGTGAAAAATATTGCACCAGATGAAAGAATCGATACCCAATACTTGTTGGATTGGTAGGACGTTTACTGGGATTCTTGGTCACATGACTGCCATTTATCATCTTTTGGTAACTCATCTGACTGTTGTAGACATTGTTTTGTGTAAAGTTAAATTGACTTCTCAGAGTCCCTACTAATTCACATCTAATTGCAAAGTTTTCTATCACATCACTGAACACACTTCCCTGGTGAGATGAGTGAAGGCAGGGGCATCAGCTGGGAGCTACTCCCTGCTGTGCCTGGCAACAGCTTGTGTAGACACCCAGGTCCCTGCTAATTAAAGGTACAACATCTTCAAGGTAGGGCGTCAGAGATAAGAGAAGCAACTTTGCCAGCACTTGCTCCAAGGATGAACGTCTCATGGTCACCAGCAACTTCCTTCACCACCACTTTACCAGAACACACCTGGAGGAACAAGGCAAGCTTTATCAAGTGGACATTTTGGATTCATGTGCCTGGTAAAAGTGCTACACATGAGACTTTCACTAGAAACTTTGTATCAGATGAGCAAAAAATGGTCAACTTAGGATGCCATGCTCACAAGTTGTGCTACTTAAACAGTTGCAACATGACGTACTGCATATTTACTTGTCATTACATTGGTGTTAATGAAGTATTTTATATGTTTATGAGTTAATAAAGTATATTGAAGGTATGAGACTGGTTCCTCACCTGTTCTAAGCCATAGTCTTTCCCAAGCTTGGATGCCTCATTTGTAAGTTGTTGGGCCCGGACCAGCATTATGTCTCCCTTGAATGAGTTGCCTGGGTTGTAATCACTACACATAATCAACTTATTGAAAAAAGATTTTGCTGCCAGTTCCAAGTCAGTGCGGTTCTGGAACTGTCGAGTGGTCATGAGCTCATCCACAGCAACACTCACACGGCTGTCCAGGTCACGGGACAGCAGCAACTTCTCCGACAACTGAAAAATGGCCATACAACCATACAATTTGCTCAAAATTAGCATGTATGAGGGAGAAACAATGAAAGGTAACAACTAATAAACTGACTGAACTCACAACACGAGCCAGTGAGTTGGGTTTAACCAGTGAGTTGGGTTTAACGCTGCTTTAAACAGTATTCCAGTTATATCAAGGGACACAACTCTGGCGTTTTAGACGCCTGGCTCACCCATGCACCCTACAACTCAAGACTGGTCCTTGGATTGTGACCAGGACTGGGTACCATAAACAGTACCTTTGATGCAGGATACAACAGAAATCCCCATGACACAAAGTATTACAAACATGCCCGCTATTACCTTGTTTGTCCATAAGTATTAAGTTGCCATAGTAACTGTCACTTGACATTTTTTTTTTTTTTTTGGGTAGGTGGATACAGAGACGAACAAGTGAAGGTCCAACCCCTAGGACACCTGCCATCCATGCACAGGAATCAAACACTAGTTATTGTTAATAATTCTAAGAATTCACATTATTACAGATCATTGCCTTAAATCCTGTATCTTACTTGTCACACACTATAAAATCTATATATTTTCAACAGAATTCCTCTTCAATGTCAACTATCCATAATAAATAGTGCAGACAATTGTATTTTGCTGCCCAATGCTCCTGCTTCATATGTTCATTTTCCATGTATCCAGTTTATTTGTACAAAAGTACATTTAGTCACTCTTAAACTGTTACTTGTAAGTGTGTCCCAATGCCACAGGATCTTAACTTTAATGCCAAGAAAGCCTTGTAATCATTCTTCAGTGAACTCACCCTGTTATAGTCAATGGACATGAACTGCTGAACAAACGCACACATGGCCTCGGTCTCCTCCTGCCCACGATGGCCTGGTGTCAGCTTGGCACGGTGGGAATCTGTATGAGCATTGACATACAGATGGGAGCCATCCAACAGCACCAGGGACTGGACGATATCGGGCCTGTCACTGTTGTACTGCTGAAGCTGAAGTGCCATCTCCAAGGCGATGCATGCACCAAACGAGTAGCCAGCCAGGCAGTAGGGACCATCTGGTTGGACACGGTCCACATTCTGGAATTTACAACACACGCTCTTGTACAATGTGTAGTTAAATATCTACAGGGCATTTGAGATGTAGAAATGCCCTACAAACCACAGCTGAAATTATTTTTTCAGAACAATCTCACTAACTTTTAGGTAGAATCTTGCAAGGGCCTCCACCGAGGTCAGGGGGGCATCAGCAGTGCACTGGATTCCATAGACTGGGCGCTGTAATTGGCTGGCTACACTCTCCAGCGACAGAGTCACACCTGGTACAAGAACACCAGAACATCAGAATAGTACAAACATTTCCACCATCAACATCTATTCAAAATAACAAGATGTTAACATTGTCTCTGATAACCTCAAAAGTCAAAATTAACTAGAGAATTGTTCATGCCATTCCCATCACATACCTTTGGGAACAAAAACCAATGAACTTTTAATGATTGTGTACTTTATCTTTTGTGCTAATATTAAGTAAACTTTTCAAGCAACCAATTTAATAATCAGAACAAAATATGTGCCGAAGGTACCCATGGGGCAGGGGAGTTGAAATTCCAAACATCAAAATAATATATCCCATCTGTTTGAGCCAAGCATATTCTCACCTTCTATTGGGTGGACAATGAACAGGGGTGTCTTCTCATTGTGTACTCCACCAATGACTACTATGGTGTTGGTGGGCATGATCTGAGACATGTCATAGCGAACAGACAGGCCACTGTCATCTAGTGTGGAGCCAACATCCTTGTTGCTGCTGGTGTCCACTGTATCCCCCCCTCCTCCTCCACTGATGTCCTGCAGACGTGTGATGGTCAGCTGCCGGATCTCCCGCATCGACATGGAGAGGTCATGGTCACGCTCCAACGTCTGCTTCACCTCTACTCCCATTAGAGAATCCAGACCAAGGTCAGCCAGACTCATGTCAGGGTTGATGGTCGAGACATCCTTTACCCCTGGTCAAGAAATATGCCAGACCTATCAAAGACTAGTACTGCACAAAGTATGTGTATGGTATTTTTGGATCTACATGCTTCACATAATTATAGTTCAAGGCCACATCAATGATGGATTGTAATCTGACCTGCAAGCTACATCAATATTCATATTTGTTTCACATTCTACTAAAACATTTGGAACAAGAAAAAAAGTGAGCAGGACTCGCTAATACCCCCGACTAGGACGCCAACAAATTTCTAAGTTCAAAACATGAAAAAAGCGCAATATTTTCACAGAAAATCCACTTGTCGAAATCAAACGTTGCACTGCACCTCTCCTAATGGTATAGAAACTGTACCCAAAAATGGAAAAGAATCCATAAGTAGTTTGCACAGGTTGCACAAATGTTGGAAGTAAGAGATTTATTCTAAGTTCACAACATTTTTTCATAAAATACACTTGTCGAAATCAAACTTTGCACTACACCTCTTCTATTAGTATGAAAATCATTCCCTAAATTTGAAAAGAAGCCATGCAGTAGTTTTTAAGTTATAGGTCGCACAAATGTTTCAGAAAAAAAATAATTCTTAGTAAACAAAATGAAAAAAAAGCTCTACTTTTTCAGAAAATCCAAATACTGAAAACAAACTACGTACTGCACCTCTATTAGATACAAAAAGTGTCCAAGTTTGGAAAGACCCAAATAGGTAGGGGGGTATAATAACTGAAACACTGCTTGGAAAGATTTCTTATTTTGAATGTAAGCAAGTGTACATGAGCTGTTGCTGGGATAGTCTGACTACAATACCTAATATGTGAGCTACAGCTGCTACCAGGTCCTGTTTGCTAATGTCATTCTTGGTGCCAGTCTGTTTCTCTGCCATCACAAAACTGGACACAACTGGGTGGGGCTGGTTGAGGAATCGGTCGAGCACCTCCATGCAGGAGCGGATCCTCTGGGGTAAGGTGCCCCCAATGACAGCATCATTGCCAGCCATGGTCTCCAACACCACACCTACATCGCCAATAGCTCCCCACTGGATGGCAACACCTGAGAAAAATCATTGTGTTAAAAGTTTCAACATGCTTTTATCAAATAAGTCCTTCCTGTTACCTATTGAGAGAGACCTGTGCAAGGCATCTACTGCATATATTGTTAAGTACAGGTGTGAGAATGAGATGAATGCTACCTGGCAATCCTTCCTGTTGTCTCTGTTCCACAACACGTTCCATCACCGAGTTAGCAAAGCCATAGTTAGCTTGTCCTGCATTACCACGCCCACAACTGACCGAGGAGAAGACAACAAACATATCCAGACTGTGCCGACAGGTGGCAGTACGACTGGCGAGGTCAAGGTTGATTGTACCCTGTACTTTTGGATGACATACTGCCTGGAAGGTCTCCTCGGTCTGATTCTCCATCAAACTATCTTTCAACACCTGTCAGACAAAAGACAAATCCTTTTTTACAACAAAATAAAACTAATCAGAAAAATTAGCTTTATATTTTTTGTCTGTCCATTAGGCCTTTTTTAAAAATTACATGTGTAATTGGTTACGGATCTGCTGACAAAAATCAGGAAAGTAGAGACAAAAGTGAAATTATCAAGTGAGTTATTTTTATTACTGCCGAGTCTGAAAACCCCATTGAGCAGTATGTGACAAACTGTTTAAGTTATTCAGTTTGTATATTACCATTGCTAGATTAAACACCCCTCCAACAGGGCCCATTTTCTCTGCCTCCCGCATAAGCTTCTTGGCTTCTTCCTCCGTCTTGATATCCGTTGAAGAGATGCACACTCTCACTCCAGCATTACGCCATAGACGCACCCTCCGGGACTGGTACCCAGTCCGTACACCAGATCGAGATGTGAGGAGAAGTTTCCTTGCTCCACGTTCAACCAGCCACTGACCAAGTTCCAGACCAAACCCTCCCAGGCCACCAGTAATGATATAAGTTTTGTGGCCACTGCAATATGTTCGAGAGATCGCTTGCACTGTGAGAGGAGCTGCAGTGTCCTCTGACCGTATCTACAATACCAAACAATAGATTTGCAAGTGTCGATTCTAACAAAACAATAATGCTTGATGATATTAACACTTTTGGGAACATGTTCCTAAGCATGAAAGTTCTTGCAAAAAATATTCACTGAAAGTACAATATGGTCATTCCAACAAAAGGTGTTGACTCTGCATGCTGCATGTAAATACTCAGTCCACAAGGCTACCTGTAGATCTGACCACGCTAAAATGAATTTCAAACTGAAGCACAGGTACCTTGGCTCTTCATTGAAAACACAGGATGTTAATATTGCTTCTATCACAAAATTACACATGAGCTATTTGGTGCTGGAGATATTAAGTGAAGCAGCATAGGTTGATTCCAGTGTATTGAGTGGGAAACAGGATATTCGCCTTAAACAAGAACAACTCAAACATTGTTTTTGTACACACTTTTAATTGTACCTGTAGGCTGTATATCACTTATGTTATCACACTTCTCATTGTAATGCATCAGACATAGAAAAACACCAACATTCAAGCTCTGTCGTCCCTAAAACTTGAAATACACATCTTAGTCCATTCAAGTGTTTTCTGCATAGAGTTGTGAAACCTCTGACTAAGCAGAACCATATATTTTCCAAACTCATGGTATTTACCTTGATCAGAACTTTTCCCATGTGTTTTCCTTGGGCCATGTATCGGAATGCGTCTTCTACCTCGGCGTGAGAAAACACTGTTGTATCCAGTGGTTTTACTGCACCTGACCTGATGCCATTGCTCACCAACTGGTGTACATTTTCCCAGTCCTTGTTGCCTGGGTCAAACAGTGCATCCAGAAGAATACCATGAAAACTGATATTTTTCAAGAATATCGACATCCCTGGAAGCAAATAAAATGCAATGTGGTCATTGGACAGTTTCAATTTACTAAAGAAGGAAAAGAACTTTGTAATGTTTAATAATACTACGGCAATTAGTTACAAGGCTACCACAGAATCTAGCCGACTTACCCAGTGCAGTGTTGTTGGAAAGATCAAATTTGCCAATCTCCAGGAACCTTCCATGAGGAGCTAGCAGTCTCAAACTGGCCTGCAGTTTCTCCTCTGCCAGGGAGTTCAGTACAACATCCACACCTAAATCAGAGAAGTTCAAGAGTGAGACTGAAGTAACAGTACTGGCATAGCTTAATAGTCATTACTTTAATCATTAAGATGCAAATTTTTCACTAACAATCTTACCTCTTCCTTTTTGGGGTAGAATAGGTCTTCAGCAACCCATGCTTGCCCTAGAAGGCGACTATGCTTGTTGCAAGAGGCGACTAACGGGATCGGTGCTCATGATATCAATCACTGGACTGTCTGGTCCAGACTCGATTATTTACAGACCACCGTCATATAGCTGGAATATTGCTGAGTGCAGCGTTAAACAACAAACAAACAAACAAACAAACCTCTTCCTTTTGTTGCTCTTAAGATGTCAAATTCAAATGAATTGTCCCTAGAGTTGGCAAAGTTGAAATCTTTGAGGGCTGGAAACTTTTGTTTGAGATACTGCCTCTTCTCCATGGAACCTACTGTGGTGAAGACCTGACAGCCATGATGCAAGGCCACAGATATGGCTGCCTGACCCACTCCACCACTGCCGGAGTGGATGAGGACATGGTCCCCCTTCTTGATGTTGCCTCGCTCAACAAGTGCATAATATGCAGTAGCATACACAGTGGGCACACTGGCTGCCTCCTCCAGACTCCAGGACTTCGGGACCTCCCACAAGAAGCGCGGGTCAGCATCAGTAGTTGTTGCCAAACCCTACACAGAAAAGAAAAGTATATATTTGTTTAACATTAATGTTTAATTCTTGAATTTTTTTATTTTGGAAAGTTGTTAGAGAACTTGCCTTAGCAGTTAGGAGCCCCATGACCTTCTTGCCATCCTTTTGTTTGCCGGAGAACTCCATGCCAAGCATGCAGTCTTGAATGTCCATCCCCCCAGGGATAGCGTCGGGGGGCAGCTTACCAGTTGCAAGCATCACATCCCGGAAGTTTAGGGAAGAATAGTGCACGCTACAAAGTTCTCGCTCTGCACCGACTGTGGCATCAAGCTTCTGCAGGGGAGAGACTATCCACTTGAGACTTGAAAGATCCCCTCTGATAGTCACATCAACATAAGCATGCTCACTTTCACGTTGCAACCACTCAGCATCTGCAACAAGCGTAACTCTGTAGCATTCTACAATTGTATTCCGACAGATTTCGAATCTCAAACAATAGATTCTGCATAATACATATTGTACAGTTTCCTGTTTTGACTATTTACTGCAATGAATGAGATGCGTTACCTTTAGACAATGGAGTATGCCTGTAGGAGCCCCACTTGGATTGTTGCTCAACATTCATCACCAGATCTTGTCTCACCAACTTCTTAAAGCACTCACTACTAGGGGCAATCCTCTCACTTGAGAACATGCACCTAAAATAAAAATAATCATAACTAGTGTATCAAAATAAATGCATAATATTTTGAAACTTGACACTTTGACAATATTATTACCTTAACACCTTTTAAATTGGATTTTTCACAATATATCCTACCTGAGTCTTTCCCCTCCTGATTCTTTCTGTAGACAATTACACAGTCCCACTATGCCACTGTTCTTGTTGTTGGCCTGCAGCCAGACATTCTCCCCCTCCGGACGTAGATGACAGTCGGCCAAGGCCGACTTGACCATGTCCACCCAACTACAGTTGAGGTCATCCACACAGATGATAGTCTGGTTTTCCTCCCCAGTATTGTTGGCTCTGCGCACCAGGAACATGTTGTACAAAACACCATCTGACTTGTCACAGATCACCTGCAGTCCATGCTTCATGAACAGCTCTGTCCAGCTAGTGGAATCCAGATAGCATCCAAGTGTTCTCGAATCACAAGTCGTGACAAAGTCTAGTTTGAAATTTTTTATGGCCAGGTGAAGTGGAAAGTTTTGGGTAGCTTCTATTATCAGTGCAAACCCTTTTGCTCCACATGCATCAACAACATTTTTCAAAGCAGCACTGATGTTTTTCTCACAGTGGAGGATATTTCTCAAGATGATCAAATCAGGCTGACTGGCCCCTGCTGGCAAAGTATTCGCCAAATCCCACTGCAGTGTACTCATACCAAGTTTTTCCAGTTGTTCTTGATCATTTGGTTGGGGATTTGCTAGTGTGTAGTCTACTTGATTCATGGGATGAGCTGCCAGGAGTGGCAGGACACGGCTATACATGGCTCCACTTGGAGGACACATCTCCAACACATTCACTTTGCTCTTCAGGCAATTCTCTAGCACTATGTCCATACAGGATTTCAGCACTTTTCCGTCAAGCAGACAATTGAGTACAGAGTCATTTGATAGCTCTGGCTGGAATGCATTCACAATGTTACGAACATTTTCAGGGAAACTTTCTGATAAAGGAGTAGAGAAAATCTTGTACAAAGTTTGCATGAGACCACATGTTGACTGTCTAGAATAGTCCACCACTTTGTCAATACTAATGTGAGCTTGTGGCTCTTCCACTGACAAAAGACTGGAGTTGGGAATGTAAGCAGCTCCACTGGATTTCAGAAGTGCTGCAAGGGACTGCTGTGCATAGGTCAAACAGTCTTCAGAGTACTGCTTCAAATTGGAGTCAACATGTTGGAGGTTCTCATGGTATGGAATGAATGAGTAGAGCTCTAACGTAGGCGTCTGGTTCGATCGTCTTGGAGCAGAAGTAGAATGCAGTCCTCTTATTTCAACTCCTCCACACACACAAACATCAAGGCAGTGATCCATTACTACAGGAATAGTAGCTGCAAACAGGGAACAAACAATAACTAGGAGATGACAGACCTGGGACTGACCTGAAGGAATTCCTCCTACTAATTCAGTTTCCCAAACCTGCAGTACGTAGAAAACAATTTAGATGTAATGCTGTAAATCAAGAAATTAATGCATCTCCAAAAGAATGCAACCACTGGCCCCTAGCCAAAAATGAGACTCAATATGAATGCGACACCCCCACTCCTCTCAAGCATCAGTGGATTTATATCTAAAGACAATGTCATCTGGTGGGTTTACAGGAGAATCCTCACATTAATCCAACCTTACATTAATCCAATCACACATCAAATAGCACCGCTTATAGGCGCTCAGTAGAATACTTCTGCTAAAACACTAATGCACTGTGGCTCTTGTCGGCCTTTGACACCGTGTTGTGTGGGTGGCGTCTGTCTGGACTTGCAGGTGTGATCAGTGATGACATAACTTCACATAAGTGAGTAGAACGCTTGTCTTGACACCAGCAGTGACAATTCACAGGATGTAATTTGTGTTTGAATGACATTGTTCATATACTTGTTACAAGTGCTGCTCAATAAACAGTGATGTTGAATACATACTTGCTTGTTTTCAGCGTATTTCTGAGTTGGTATTTTTGCTATCCAAAATGTCTTATTGTTGATATAAATGCAATGTTTAATAATGCGGCATTTTTCGCATTTAATTCATGTTCTCATTAATTTCAAGATTTACAGTAAAGACATGAAGAGTGCCAGAATGGCAGTTTAAGTGAATGCAAATCTTAATTCCGAAAAACTAATTCATTATTTCAAATTAACATGTACATAAAAGCAACAAAATTCTTTCCATAATCATAAGAAATGTCTGCTAAAAGCAGAGTCCATTAAATGAATCAAACTAAGTAATGTTTATGAATCACAATCAAATAGTCATAATACCAGGTGTTTGTGAAAAGGTGAGCGCATCCTGCCCTACCAGTGGCAGCTGTAACACCTGTTACAAGTCAAGTCTTCACCTGAGCAAACACTTGAACCTCTGGTTCAAGTCAAAGTAGGGAACTGCAGTGGACATCCTTTTTGTCACTCATGTGTTACATTTGGAAATGTTTTCCACATGCCTGCCATAAAACCCTTTTGAAAGCTCTACTGAGACAATAAACGTAACCTTGAAAAACATTTGAGCAAGAGGTATATTGTTTGATTTTCTACATTACAGAGCTTTTGAGATACAAAGTGAAAGTTGATTATTGGAAAGTTTTCCCACTTGTCATAGTCTTGTGGATAGTTTCTTGTCAATGAATCTTTATGCACTGATGTAAGCATGCAAGATGGTGCTGGTTCATTGGTCTCATATTTTTAGCCTAGTGGGTAATGAGTGGGAGAGAATTCTCAGTAACTGACCCTCTTTGCCCTCTGCTGCTGGGATAACAAACTGGGCATGTATGGTGGGGTCTATGCGCACAGACTTGATTCTAGTTGGTAGTCGAAATCCTGAAGCCCGGCCCATCACCTGTGCTTGAAGCATTGTGTCCAAGAAAGACACCCAGTTGCCTTTCCACACCAGTTCCCCTGAGTCAGCTGCAAATAGTGGACATTTCCATTCAAGACACACAATCTGTTGACAAAATCATAAAATTGTGATAAATACAATGTGATTAATTACTGAAGGAAACTTTTCATGTTGCCATTAGATTTTATTTGTTATGAATATGAGAATGCCACAGAGGCCTGTGGGGTTTCACATCATCAGCACAGTCATCAAAATGGCAAAGTGGAGAGAGATTTGGGCCATGTAGCCATCTTGTTGTGGATGACAAGAATCAATGCTAAGGAGATAAATCTTCCAGATTCTTAACATAATTTAGAAATGAAAGTGATACAAGTCATAAATCAATAATATAATATAGGTTATATCCTTCATATCCTGGCAAACATGACTCTTTGGTGTTAAGGCAACGCTCATGAGAGAACACCTAAGCTCTTTGGCTGCAATGAATGTCATGTGTCGGGAGACTCGCATACTAGGCTCTATAGTGTCTTTGAAGTAATAATTACACTCTTCAGCTCATTTTTCATAGCTTCAAATTTTTCCCAGTGGTCATCCAAGTGTCGCACATATTCTGGAAACATTTTTTTCACCGGATATCCATTCAAGGTGCCTTATGTTACCATATCCCTCTAATGTTATCCTGAAATCCACACAGGATATCAGTGTGAAAGTCTGACCTGTGGAACATTTATGATTTCACATTGCGCTATGCACATTGAGAAATGAATAGAATATTTGAAGAACAAATTTGATCCTGTGAGAAAAAAGTATCACAGCAAAAGTATCAAAGCCCAATGAACTACCTTTGTTGGTCATCTTGTATATGCCCTGGAACTCAGGACCATAATCGTAGCCTCGAAGTCTGAGATCTTTGTACACATCGGAGAGTGTGAGTGGAATGTTCTCTTCAGCTGGGGCCTGTGTGGGTGGAGTTGTGTCCTGCTTCAGATGGGACCTGAAGGACGAGTCCTCCTCATCTATCAGCTCATGAATATGTCCACTGACGGTCAGGTTACCACCCTCGCTGATCTCAAACTCTCCTGTCACCGGCATTACACAAACCTCCAGCTTAACACTACCTGTGTTGGGACAAGAAGTAGTAGTCAATAATAATATGTATACAGCCACTTGAAGGATTGGGAGGAAGATGGTGGATGGATGATTCAGGAGGTTGCTGGGTGGTGATTGGAAGGACAACGCAGGGTGCTGGTTGGAAGGACAATGCAGGGTGCTGGTTGGAAGGACAATGCTTGGTGCTGGTTGGAAGGACAATGCAGGGTGGTGATTGGAAGGACAACGCAGGGAGGTGATTGGCAGGATCGGAAGGTGGAAGGAATTATCAGAAGGACGCCGGGTGGTGATTGGCAGGACAACGCCGGGTGGTGATTGGAAGGACAATGCTGGGTGGTGGTTGGAAGGACAACGCCGGGTAGTGATTGGCAGGTGGTGGTTGGAAGGAGGAGACTGGGTGCAGGTTGGAAGGAGGAGACTGGGTGCAGGTTGGGAGGAGGAGACTGGGTGCAGGTTGGGAGGAGACTGGGTGCAGGTTGGAAGGAGGAGACTGGGTGCAGGTTGGAAGGAGGAGACTGGGTGCAGGTTGGAAGGAGGAGACTGGGTGGTGGTTGGAAGGAGGAGACTGGGTGGTGGTTGGAAGGAGGAGACTGGGTGCTGGTTGGAAGGACAATGCAGGGTGCTGGTTTTGAGAATGGCAATATATCAGATGCCTTTTGAGATGGTAAAGTTTTGTTTTGCTCATCATTCCAAGCTGAAAGTCCTTCACAGTATCATTAAGACTGTTGAGCTTACCAATGCATATCACGAACAACACACCATACAACTGGGCTGGGCTGGTTGCCAGCAGAATGCTCATTTGAGGTATCTCAATCATCTGCACATTCAAAGCAAAAGTTAATTTTGAAATTATCATTAATTACTTATATTCATCAATTCAAGTTTTTATTTTGATGACATTTCCCAAACATCAACCCGCATGATAAAAAATAATTCTGAAATTCAAAACAACTATTTGCAATTAGTGAGAAAAAAAAGCTAAATCCAGACAAGCAGATGATGACAAGTTGAAAACATCTGGAAGTGTTATTTATTGAAAGAATCACAAACAAATTACCAATAATGAAATAATTCAGTAGTCGTCAGATAATACGTACCTGTTTTGGGTAGGATAGTGGCATGATGAATGTTGACATTCTCAAACATGACAGGCAGATGTTCATAGAACTGCCCCCTGAGTTTGGCCAGAGTCCGCCATGCAAGGACAAGGTAGCCAGTACCAGGGAACAGTACTCTGCCATCGATAGCGTGGTCCACCAGGTAATGGTCTGGAGATTCCGGGGAGACATCAATTTCATAAACACACACAGTGTTTCTTCCCGATCCTCCGCCAATGAAATCATCTGCTTTGGGAACATCCCATGACTGACTGTGGTCCCACTGTACAAGAGGCGACAACATGGGAGTCCCAGCAGGCACTGGGTACCTCACAGGGGCAAACAAAGCCAGCGGATCAACTTTCATTCCTGCTGCATAACACCTGCGAAATAAATACATTTGGTTTATATGAAGAGGTCCAGGTCAATATTGGCTGAAATTGCAATACTGCAAATTTTCATAGTCATTTCTATTTCTGCAAAGTAACTAGTTTAGGAACACTGACTTGGAAGATGATTTGACCTGCGAATAACAGCAGTGTGTAGATCTAGAAGTAGACTCCATCATGTGAGGAGTGAGCGCAAATGTAGTCTTGTAAATGGCATCACAAAATGTACTTACTTTCCTATACTTGAGTGGAAGTAGTTGACATTATCTGGATGATTTCTCTTCATGAGACCAACAAATGTACAGGTGGGAGCAAGTGATCTCTTGAGTATTGCCTGCAGCAGACAGTGTGGGGCAATCTCTATGACCACAGCATTGTTGGGAACATGTTGCAGAGCCTCCTGAAACAGCACAGGGCTCACCAGGTTGTTGACATGATACTCTGCTGAGGAGAACCTTGCCATATCTGTCTGCCACTCCTCCTCTGGCACAGAGCTGCTCACCCAGCGTTCAGACCGACGCTTGGGCTTTATCACCTGAAATAGTAGGTTCTTGAAGGTTACACACCTTTAATATGTAGAAATGATGTCCTCGCTTCACAACTTTAAACAGGACAACACCAGTGCACTATTAGCTCTGATATTTGACCCAGTGCATACACTTACCTTGTCTAGAACAGCCCTCAGAGTTGGGGCAATCTCTGCCATATATTGGGAATGGAACGCGACGCCTGCACTCTGCACTTCCTTTGCAAATATCCCCTTTTCTTTCAGTTGTAGCACAAACTGAGAAACAGATTGTGCAGGGCCCGAGATGGTGACTGTATCCTCTGAGTTGTGACAAGCTGGCACAACACCTGCTGGGCATTGCTCCTTGGCCTCAGCCCAGGTCAAACCTTGAAAACACAGCACATTTGTCAATGCAAGTCTTACATGCCTGACTGCTAGTTGACAATATTAGTAAAGTCCATCTGCTAAAGAGACAACACTGCTGGATAATTTCTAGGGTTGGGAATTGGACCAAAAAGTGTATTGCGATATATTGCAATATTTCAAAAAGAGATGGAGAAATGGTAAAGCAGCACCATGGTGCCCATAGAGGACAAATGGCTATCTGTAAGTTAGACGAGGGAGTTGTCGATATAATCTTGTGTAACTCAGTTGGAGCCACTTAAGTTTAGTATCTTGAGTGGTTATGAATAGCTACAATAAATTCTTTTCCTACATTAAAAAAAAGGTTGGGTAAGTTCATCCCATTTGCATTTGGCATTAACAGTAGTTTCTGACGATCGTAAAATGTTATGACACTTAGCATGGTTCTGCTTTAAACAACATTTAGTGGTGTTTAATAAAAAATGAGACGAATCACCTCAAACTTTAAAACAGAATAGGTGTATCTCCTAATTGATCTTGTGTGGTTATTTACTGATTTCCCAACAGTCGTGTATGGACCGATTTCTGGGTAAACCTGTTTCAATTTGGAAAGCACCTCAATGTGAATATGGTATTACGAAGACTGACCAACTGCAGCCATGCCGCCAGGTGGAAGTGTTGCCTCCTGGATACAACGGCCTCTCCAGTAGGCTGCAAGCAACGTTTCCTCTGCAGTGAGAGATCCATCAGCATAGGCACAGCCAAGCTCCCCAACAGAGTGGCCGACTAATCCATCTGGAACCACCCCCATCTGCTCCAGCATGTCCACCAGGGCCAACTGGAGAATACACAGTGGAGTATTTATTACAGCAATATCCCAGAGGAACCTGTACATTAGTTAATAAGACCGAAAATTATTGTGTCCCTCCTTGATGTCAAGTTTTGAATAAACAAAAATAGGTGTAGAAACTTGTCACACTGACACAAGAGCTGTAGATAAGCTAGGTATTTGTGTAAAATACAGACAAATAAAATCAAGCATATCAAATACGCAACAAACACTATAAATATGCCACTGAAATAAAACTAACATGTATACCGTTAACTTTTAGATAAACTGATTGTTTAACGGCCGATTGCTAAATTCACTTAACAGTTAAATTCAGAAAAGCTTGTATGACAAACAAACTCAAACACCGATTTGGAATGAAAAGCACATCATGCTTAGCCAATGTATCTTAAACAGTGGCTGATTGGCGACACCCTACTACAATTGGCGACACCCTACTACTATTGGCGACACCCTACTACTATTGGCGACACCCTACTACTACTGGCGACACCCTACTACTATTGGCGACACCCTACTACTATTGGCGACACCCTACTACAATTGGCGACACCCTACTACAATTGGCGACACCTTACTACAATTGGCGACACCCTACTACTATTGGCGACACCCAACTACAATTGGTGACACCCTACTACTATTGGCGATACCCAACCAAAATCAAACCCCTCGGTATTATACCCAAATAACCAAAAGCATATCTAACAAATCATGACATTAGCATGTGCAAACATCTTATCAAATTACAATCCCAAGGTAGTGTAAAAGTTTCAATGATCATTCTAGCCTTGATAGCATGGACACATGATGTTGAAGGGTCCTACCTGTATAGCTGCAATACCACAGAAGGTATAAACAGTGTTGTCAAACGTGGCCTTGTCCCCTTCTGTGAGCACCAGGTACAGCTCAATGCCATGTCTCTGCAGTATGGAATCCGACTTCAGAATTGACTGCTTGAACACCTCTAGCTCCATCATGCTCCGGCCCATTCCAAACCATTGCGTGCCCATTCCAGCAAACACATACCACACTGGCCGACTGTCACTCGAGCATTTCTGGACAAATGTTCAACATGTTAGACATAAAAGCATACAAGTGTACATCCTTCACAGATCACAGAGTCTAGTAGCAGATGGTTGCATGAACATGATATACTGCATCAAACAAATTACAATCATTTATGGACAGTTAAGAAACATTGATTTCTGCCCATCAGCAATCTTGCAGTTGTGCAGGAGGAAACCTTCATGTAGAAACTAGTGGAATGTTATAGAAAGCTCTATTCTAGGAAACAAGTGGATACATGATTTGGGCAGTCACCTGTATTTCTCGAACCTCCTCCTGAGAATTGAGTATTGTGTATCCCCTGTATGGAAATGCTGTAGTTGGTGAGCAAGCACTCTCATTCAGCAGGGCATGGAGTTCCACACTGTCACTGTTTTGGTGCATCTGTGTCAGCACGTGGTCCACACATTCTTCTGTGCGGCCTGCATACACACACAGGCGGCGACAGGAAGTGGCTGGATGCTGCTCACTCTTTTCATTGTCGTTGGACTTCAAAATCAAATGCACATTAGCACCACCAAAACCAAAGGAGTTAAGGCCAACGTAACCACCTGGCCACCGAGTGCCTTCAGTAACAACCTTCAGTCTGCCATCCACCAAACCAGGGATGTCTGGGTTGGGCTCCTCATAGTGTAGATTGGCAGGTACTATCTTCTCCTCCATTGCAATAACCACCTTGGCTAAAGCTGCTAGACCTGCAACACGAAACTTGGACTGAATCCTCAATGAATCTCTCAAAGTGTGTCACTAACTTGTAAGGCCCGATCGCATCTTCTCTTACTCTACCAAACCACCCATGTTCACTTTGTGAATTGATTTCACAGTGACTAGAAGTAAGGAATGTCAAATGGGTCTTTGAATTTCTGACCAAACTCACTTTTCTTTAGCAGAGAAGGTGGAGTTCAGGAATATATTTAAAACAAAAGCAAAACATGAGTCACAAGACACTGTAGCTCACTTGAATCGTTTTGAATATTTGCAACAATAAAGGTCATGAAAGAAGGAGCAACAACAATACCATTACAAAATATTGTTCCTCGGAAATAACCGTACAGTAAAGTATGGTTATAACGAACTCGAAGGGACAACTAATTTTAGTTCGTTATAAGCATATATACAGCATAACTACAGCAAATAGTCTTGACCAAAAAAGTAAGTTTGTTATATCCGTCAGTTCGTTATAAGCGTGTTCGTTATAACAGTAGTTTACTGTATGTAACTACAATGGTACACTGCTGAAATATTTCTTTCTTTTGGACTTCATTAATCTGTTGGTTCAAGAAAGGATTTATAGGGGTATGTGAAGATCAGAGGGCAGAGAATGGTAATATCAAAATATTTCAAAAGGGGGATGGAGGAAGCTTAAGATCGGAGTTCAGACAGTTATTGTAGCTTGACCACAAACTAAAAATTCAGGACAAATCTGTTTTCATGAAACTAATAAAACTTAAGGATAAAAAAAATAAAACAAGAGGCCCCCATTGGGCCTGTATTGCTCACCTGGATATTTACGCAATCATGACAAAATATACATTTGCATTGTACATGTATATAATGCTGCAAATATTTCCTAATTTTGACTGTCAGCATTTAAAAGGGGTGGATGAACGTGTACTTCTCTAGATACAAATGTAGCAAAATGATCTGAACTCTCTCCATGTTATGATCCAGGATCTAAGTTTCCAGAGGCAAGGCTGGACCCCAGCGCGAATCCTTTGGCATAAATGTATTATTCTCTTCATAACAAACAAATGTAAACACTGTATCTGTTTATTATAGGATGGGGATAATATGGGTTTGCATATTATGGTCATAGTCCTAACTCCTTTGGGAGTGCTGGACAGATGAACAGAATTGGATCATAGAGTCAAACTCTCATGGCTGATTTTGGCATGGTTATACATTTTGTCAAATAACCAATATGAGATAGCCAATTTCAGTGAACCAATTCCAACTCTGTTGAGATTTGATAGTGACTGAATGTTGCTAACCTGATGCTGGCTCAGGGTGACCCATGTTGGACTTGGTGGATCCAATAAGTAGTGGCTCATTGCGGTCTTTACAGAAGACATCCACTATGCTGTTGACTTCCTGTGGGTCTCCCACTTTGGTGCCTGTGCCATGAGCCTCCACATAGGCCACCTGACTGGGGTCTACTCCCGCCTCGTGGTACGTCTCTTCAAGCAGCTGCTTCTGTACTGCACCAGATGGGAAGGTGATGCCTGCATAGCAACAACAGCAACTGGCATCACAGAGCAACTTTCTTTCTGCCTTGAGTAATAACTTGAGGCTTAAGGTAAATGAGTACTTTTTTAATAATACTCTATGCAAAAAAAAACAAATTTCCAGGTTGCACAGTCTCACCTTGTTCTTTGTTGCCATCTGCATTATTCTTGGAATGTACAATTGTAGTGTAGACTCTGTGAGCAGCAGATACCTTCTGAATGTGGATAGCTACAATCCCTTCACTGCGACAATAACCGTCACCTGCAATATTGTCCATTAAGTTCTTAATGAAACTGTTACTGATAATGAACTTAATTGAAACAAGTCTTCAATGTCGGGACCAACAACAGGACATTTGAAATTTGTAGTAGTGGTCTAGTATTCATTGACATGTTATATCATGTTTGGTGAATGATGCTATTAACATCCAGAAGGGTATGATGAAGGATTATTGGTATTCTGGCAGAGGGTATTTAGTATTAATTCCCAATTTAATTACATCTGTAACATGGAAACATGTCGACCCAACACTGGAGAACTAATTTTTTACAGTAATCAGCTTGACTGTGCGGACTGGCGACTTGAGTAGATAAGATGAGGGGATGACTCTACTCACCATTGGCATCAAAAGATTTACAACACCCATCGGCTGATAGCATGCCCAGCTTTAAGAACTGGAGAGCCGTGTTGGGCTTGATGCAAATATTGGATCCCCCGACGATAGCAGCATCACAGATACCAGCACGAATACTGGCCAGCGCCTGGTCCATAGCCAGGGAACTAGAGGAACATGCCGTGTCTATGGCATAGCTGGGACCTTCAACCAAAAACAACTGCTGCTAGTAAATGAGTAGACACAAAATGCAAACATTGTATTCATTTTGTTGAACATCCTTTGTCCCTTTCAATATGCAGGCCACAACAGGTCTTTCACTGGCAATAACATAATGGAAACAGTCATAAGCATACACACTGAGAAACCTCCAGAGAATTGTAGCAGCAATACCATAGATCTGCCAAAACTACAAGATGAAAATGGTTCTTGTTGATAACGGATATGCCAAATTGTTTCAACTTAGCAGCACACATGTTAGGGCTTGTCACAAGAATGCTGTTGTCTTGTTAGTAAATAATGTAAATAATTTATTTTTCAAGTGTTATTGTTTGAAACTTTGGTATTTAAACCCAATTCCTCGTGGAGCCAGAAATATGTGTTACCAGTACCTTTTGCCCATTGTTTACAATTGTAATTAATAGGGCTGGGACTGGTTACTCGGGTCGGGTGGGTACTGACTAGGACCTGCGTATCCACAGGACTACCCGGACCCATGGTTACTCACAGGATATATTGTTTAATAGCAAAAAATTATCTAGAACTATGGTTACACTGTAAGTGACTAATGTTCGCATTTCTTTCTGACTATGCACCCATTCCTTCTGACTTTATATGTTTGAATAAACATAAAACTTCAGTGTTGCATGACCAGATCATTTTATACGAGTATCTAAATACATTTTACCAGGGCTACGGTCAAACCATTCCCAATCGTTTGGACCTTTCTCTCGAGACCTATAGCGGGTACTTGTGTAGGGTCGGGTAATAGGGTGAGTGGGTACCTGGGTTGTAAATTTGGACTCGTCCCAGCCCTGGTTATTAGCTTCAATTTTCCTGACTTGCTCCAAAGGAATAGAATTTCTTTGGTTGCAAACTTATTCAAAAACCTCCTAGTAAAACGCTCAGTCAATAAATACTGAGCCTAGAATCCTTTTGCAAAGAGAACCAGACAGCCAATCCCATGCACATGCAGACAAGAGCGTATCTGCGTAGCCTCCTGAGGGCAAGTTTATTACTTTTGTATCATTTTTAATGCAACACTGTTGATTGTTTGATAGTTCTTATTAAAAATTCATAAAAATCATTTGTAAATAATGCAAAGGATACTTTCAGTCATGTTCACCCATGTTTTTCAGGGAAGTAACTGATAAACAGTCAATATTCTGATAGGTACTTGCTTGACATCCATGGGATAAACTATAGTACACAGATCCTCGTCATGTATTGATTCAAACTTCACACAAACACGCTCATGCAACAAATGATTTGAGCATAGTATTTAAAATAGTTTCCACATAAATACTTAGGACAAAAAGCTTAAACTATAATCTTATAATAAACAAAATGTCTTTCATGAGGAGAAACAAACAACAAAATTCAGCTCCATAAATCTGACAACTTCAGGAGATAGTAATTAGGTTTACAGAGCCAAATATGCATTATAAAATTTAACCGCATTGTTAAAACAAGATCAAAATTTAAAATATTGCAAAAAAATAAACGTTGGTTAAATACCACAGCTAAACAAAATACACATTTCATTACATTTTGTACCAAAAAGGCTGAGTAATGGAGACAACTAGGTCAGGCACTTTGGCAGACATACTGAAAATCAGATTCAACCCAAAAGAATTCAGAAGTCATCTTTGGTGGAGACATGCCAAGTTTAAGTTTCATCAGGTTAATAGGTCATGTTTATGATTATTGTCAACACATTACAGACAAGCAGTGTATGACATAAGTTCAGGTTTACATTCGTTTCAGTCAGGTGGGCTAAAAATGACTAGGTTATAAAATTAAAACTTTAAAAATGCAAACTTTTGGGGCACTTACCTTTGAAATCAAAGAAGAACGACAGTCTGTTTGCAAACATGGCCCTGCAGCATCCTGTCATGCCGTACCCCACCAGTGTCTCAGGGTCAGCGGAGAGTGCTTCCCCCGCCTCAGATGCACTCACACCAATAAACACACCTGTCTTTGAACCCCGCAAACTCTGGGGGCTGTACCCTGGGAAAACACAGCAATGAAAACATTCTTATATGACGAGGGACAATGTAGAAGACAAAGCATGGTGTAATTATTCTAACACTGACGACATGCAGAAGAGTACAATCTCCCCCATGAACCTTTTGAGAAGTAAACTAATTTTAATCTATTTTAAACTTTCGATGAACAGGCCATCACCATAATTTGATCTGGACAGGTTAAAAAAAAAGGAAATAATAAAAAGTTAAATCTTTTCTTTATCTCTTGTCGGACACAAAGTCTAAGAACATACTGGATTCTTCACCTTCACTTTCAGCTCGTTTGCCAGTCTTACCTGAATCTATAATTGCCTCATATGCAACTTCCAACAGAAGTCTCAGCTGAGGGTCCATGGCATCTGCTTGTTTGGGGTGGACTCCAAAGAAGGAGGCATCGAACTTGCTTAGATCCTTTAATTTTCCATTTCTTTGAGGTAGTCCAAGGAAACCTAAATTGTCATATTGAACCTTGTATTTACATTTTCATCCCACACAGCCATGTCCAATTCACCCACACATCATTTCAGTGTAGCAAAATGCCCTCCAACAAGACCACAGGGACAAGTTATTGGCAGACCTTTTCCATACCTTGGATTTTGGTCTGTAAAACTTGGTCTATATGCCGTAATATACATTATGGTAAAATTACTTTTGAAATTGAAACATACTACTCAGCACTAAACAATATCTTATCCTAATAGATGTGAAAATGAATTCATGATAGTGTTATCCCCCTTGAATTACCTGGCTGCCATCTCCTATCATCGTCTGTGATCATGTCTTCTTTAAGCATCAGATGCTGGCGGAACTCGGTCATATTGTCGGATTCAGGTAGTCGACAGGAAATGCCTGTGATGACCACATCCTCTGTGCAGGACACCACTCCTGGAGAGGACTTATCTGCAGTGTTGGCCAGCTTGCAGGTCGCTGTTGCTCCCTGGAAGGGAGCTTCTTCAATCACGTGGGCAGGCATTACTAGCACCTGTCACAGGGAAATCTAACATTAGTTCCCATGTCAACCTCCAGCAACAAGCACACTCAGTAGCGGTGTTACACAAAGCAGAAGGCGGCTTAGATAGTGTGTAGATGGGGCATCTTGTTAAAACTCATGGAATAATTTATTAGTATTTATTTCTACATTTGAAACATTTTTCCTACTGCTGAGCGCGGATTTATGATGACCTTGTTCTTTGTCTTGTTCTTAGGAACATGGAGTACACCCTTACCCTTACGCCAGGAACTTGTGGAGAATATATCATATATATATATATATATATATATATATATATATATATATATATATATATATATATATATAAATATATATATAAAAATATATATATATAAAAGGAATCTTTTAAAAACAGATGTGGATATTCCAAAGAGGCAACAATTCTATTTCTTGCCTAACACAGTAACAGTCTCACAAAGTAGTGCTCATGGGTTGGTGTAAAACAAAGAAAGATTCCGCAGTGTTTGTGTGAAATGGTACACATTTTGTATTTACCATCTAAACCATGAAATGTTTTTATTTCAGCTTCTCAACATATCCTCACAAATATGTTGTAGAAACAAAAGATCACTTGGTTTTCCACATCTTTGACCTAAGGCCTCTTTCTCAACCTGTCCATGACCTTGTCCAAGCTGGGCCTTTATCCTACTTGACACAAATACAAAAGCTTAAGAGCAGAATATCTGAGAGCGGGAACATATCACTAAAGCCAAAAAGACTGAGTTTAAGTACTTTTTTTCAAAATGAATTTTAAAACCTAGCTTCTATTAGTATTACAGGGTTTATGGCACAGTACTTCAGTATCAATTTCAGTATCACTTCACAAGTGCCTTCTTTGTTATTTATGGGTATCACAATACAATTATCATGTAGATGAGACCAGTCTTCTTTATTTGGAATACCAGGACATGCTCAGGAGGACCCCTCAACCCCACACTTCCTAGGTCCCCCCGCCTGAACCCCACACTTCCCAAGGTCCCCGCCTGAACCCCACACTTCCCACTGTCCCCGCCTGAACCCCACACTTCCCAAGGTCCCCGCCTGAACCCCACACTTCGCACTGTCCCCGCCTCAACCCCACACTTCCCAAGGTCCCCGCCTCAACCCCACTATTCCAAAGGTCCCTGCCTGAACCCAACACTTCCCACTGTCCCCGCCTGAACCCCACACTTACCCAAGGTCCCCGCCAGAACCCAACACATACCCAAGGTCCCCGCCAGAACCCCACACTTCCCCAAGGTCCCCACTGAAAGTTATCCATACACCAGGACCCCCTCAACCCTGTCCAGACACCAGGACCCCCTCAACCCTGTCCAGACACCAGGACCCCCTCAACCCTGTCCAGACACCAGGACCCCCTCAACCCTGTCCAGACACCAGGACCCCCTCAACCCTGTCCAGACACCAGGACATCCTCAACCCTGTCCATACACACATAGAACTTCCAAATTGATTAACTGTACCAGTTACAGCCATCATCTAAAAGCATTTGTCACGTGATCATGTGCATTGTTTCAGTTATACAAATTACACATTTTTGTAGTTTAATGTGTGGTACCATACTCAGTTATTTTATTCATTAAAATGAATAATAAATGCTTTGTCAGTTTGCTAAAGGACATAAACCAATATTCCCCAAATTTGATCTACATATGCTTATCCCCAACACGAGGTACTAGGCATTTCGCAATATATTCAGGTTATGCTTTTTTTTTAAAATAACTAAATTAGGTTTTTAAGAAATGTATTTTGGGAAGAAATGACAGACAGATAGTAACCAATAACAGAACTAAATGAACTCGAGTTTGATTTTTGTTTACGCAAGGATAAGTCATATAAGATCACCCATGTCTTTTCTGAAGTTGTATTTGAGCAAGGAGCTTTTCATTTAATATTTCTAAACAAGAGTCTGTTTTCTTCATTTTGCATAAATATTTCTCTCTTATGAAAATGACCAAAAGTCAAACCCAGACACAATCACTTGGGGGCAATAGCCAGTATATATTTGTATGTTATACTTGAAATACTTGCCTGGTGGAATATTAATGATGAATGTGTTCATATGTACATATCTACACAACGCAGGATTAAATTTTACCTTTTGAATAAAAAGGTGATATCAAAAAGGACTTTTCTCCAGAATCAGCACAATTATGGATACTTGCAATCCATCATTGCATCATTATAATGAATAATGTAACCAATTAATCACTGATAAGAATAAATCAACAGAACATCATTGGATAGAAAACAATGCTACACACTTTCAAAACACCAAGGTGGGTTAGGACAACGCTTCAGACTGTCCAAACACCAAGTCGGGTTACGACAATAGTTTGAGTCCCACTGACAACTATGCCAGTGACCAAGTCTATCAATATTGCAGCAATCTTTTGTCTACGCAGCACAATCAGAAACTGATGGTATACAGAAACCATGGACGAACAACTTGAAAATAATATTCATGTACTAGTCATAAAATAATCAAGAATGAAATTGTCATGGCCATTTTCAATTCAACAGCAGGAGACAATACACAACATACCTTAGTGTTACAGGCAAGAATATTTCCTCAGAAAGTGAGTCCTTACAAAACTCAGAAATGTCCTGGTGAAGAGCCACCAACTAGAATGTCTAACTTCTGCAGCACATGGCTTGTAAAGCCTTCATGAACCAATCAGTGCCCAGGTCACATGTCACCTTCTGACTTCATCTGATTGCTCATTGGCTTATCAGAACATGCAACAGGTGATACACCTGTCACCCCTTGGTCATCATGGTCTCTCCCACTGACCATGCATCAGGCATCAGGCCAACACACTGCTGGAAAGTTCTTCATAGACACAACACAGGAAAATGAGTTTGACAACATTACATTTTAACATCAACACACATTTCCCAAGCATTATACACCATCTAGTTTGCCACATACTTACAAGAGCAAAACTGTTTCCTTTTTTCAAAGAAGTGTTTTAATTAGTTTGGAATTAAAAAATATATATTTTCGGAAATGCATAATTTAAAAATGAAAACCCCCCACCTGAATAGCAAAAGTCACCAGCACACCTGTTGCCTGATGCAAGATCTTGTCTGGAAACAAACCCAACCGTCTTTTGAAAACAAGTCCAACTATTCCCGGGAGAAGCAAAATATAAAAGTTTAAAATATCCCAATTAAACTAAAGGCACTGGTTCATCACTTTCCCGATGCATTTACAAAGTTTCCTATGGAAATATTGAACTTTTTTAGAGCTTGCTACAGAACCTTAATCCAACATCTTGCCATGGAAATGCAAAAGCAGCAAATTTGTTTTTCAAAGGACAAGGTAGGATAAGGGTCCTTTATGGCCAACAGGATCTGCCTAATTTAGGACTTGAGCATACCTTTTAGACATTGTTATGTAAGATAAATTAATGAGAACTAAACTTTGATCATTTCAACAACTCTAACACTGTTATGAAGCAAATGATTGTTCACTCATTTTAGCCACGTACATTTGTGTAGTTGACCAGTCAGAAGTCCAAAACTTGGGATGAAGAAAAAAGGCTTCATGTCTGCCATTTTTCATGCCAATATTTCAAAGTTTAACTTTAAAATAACTCTAAAGTTTGACTTTCCCAGTTGATAAAAAAAGGATATTGGCGCACCTCAACTTTTCCTTTTAACGCCCAATCCTCAAAGAATTGGACACTGTCAGCTGTAAGCAGTCACAGTCGCATATCAACTGAAAGTCCTATTTTGTGCTTTACAACTTTCCCTCAGTTGTTGTCAATACTTTATGTACACAATGTCAGAGGCATGTTTGTTTGCATGGTATGTAAATTTCTGACAAACATATTTTATTTAACAGATATTTCCAGGTGAAACATATTTAAAAGGTTGTCACTGACAAGTATATTCCATCAACATATTTCTGTCATGCGTAACAGCTGCAATGCCAACTCGATGTATCGTTAATATAACTGTAATGTTTCAACAATTCATAAACACATAGCTACACACATCATGTAATGTTTATTGTAATGGAATGACCTAAATTTGCCTTCTATTACAAACAGATAGAACTTGCACTGTTTACAATATTGTCTTTTTATTGAGATGGATACGAGCCAGCTATAAATCAAATATAATTAATTATTTGAAACATGATATTGCTTGTCATTACATTACAATATATCTTCTGTTGTATATTATATATATATATATATACCGTATTCGACGTAATAAGCGCCCCGCTCTAATAAGCGCCCACGGCGATATTTGCTGATATATTGGCTGTTGAACAATCCCAATTACCATCCCTTCCGATTGATCAATGTACACAAGACTTATTTATTCGCGTATAATATGCACTCATGTGTTATATGCACCCTTAATTATGGGCAACTAAATTCTGGAAAAATATATCTGTCGTATATAAATATTTAAGGCTGTCAGCAATTTTGAGAGCGCCCTGGGCGCTTATTACGTCCAATACGGTATATATATATGAGCGTTGTATATTAGTGTTGTTTACAGGAGTTTTTTTCACTAAAATAATATTCCAATAAGAGCCCCCGATTTCTAATTTTGAGAGCACCCTGGGCGCTTATTACATCGAATACGGTATGAGCGTTGTATATTAGTGTTGTTTACAGAAGTGTTAATACTAGTGTTGTTTACAGGAGTGTTGTATATATACTAGTGTTGTTTACAGGAGTGTTGTATATTCTAGTGTTGTTTACAGGAGTGTTGTATATACTAGTGTTGTTTACAGGAGTGTTGTATATACTAGTGTTGTTTACAAGAGTGTTGTATATACTAGTGTTGTTTACAGGAGCGTTGTATATACTAGTGTTGTTTACAGGAGTGTTGCATATACTAACTAAAGTTGTTTACAGAAGTGTTTTCTAATGCTGTTTGTTGAAGTGATGTCATTTGTCTTTGTAGAGAACACCATGTTGAAAATTAATTATGAAATGGCGGTCGTTGCCATGACCTGTCAACAAGACATTTGGTGTATAGAGCTGGCACTCATCTAAAGATGGGGGTGGGGGTGCATAAATTAGACATATTTTGTCCTGTGAAAAAATCAAAACATACTAGGATGTATACTTATCAATAAAAAGATAATAAAAAGGACATGCAAATTACATGTGATCTTGCTACCTCAACTTTATAAAAAGGGGCCGTGTGGTCAGGGTTTCAAGGACTTGGTTTTATATACTTCCAGGAATATATATATAAAATTCTCGATCACTGCAGTAAATCTGAGAACAGTGTTAACTTGAAGACAATACAAAAGTATTCCCGTTGGTTTTCTCAGCTTTTATTGGCATTTGATCATATATATAACCTTAGTTGGTCAGAACTGCGCGTGATAATCTAAAACCTGAGTAATGAAACGTAATGCAAGTCAAATTACCACAAAAAATATAAAAGCTTCGTCGTTACTAAACAAATACACGAACATGGGTTAATTAACGGATTCTAACATCCCTGTTGTGAACGCCTTATAGCGAATGAAAATACATCTTGATAGTCCCGATTTAACGCGTGTGATAAATATAGAAAGAGACGGGTCAAAGTCCATAACAAGCGCTCGCACACAGACAAAACCACTGATAAACACTCACCGTCAATACTAGTATTTACGTTGATTATGCTGTATGTATGTATAATTTCTGTTTTTGAGAATGGTAGCGGCGCAAGGTCTCTCCTATTTTCTTGTCACGTTAAACTATTCGTTTGGATTATGCGAAGCTATCACGTCGAAACATTGTGTTGATCATCTGATGTGGGACCATGACGCAAGAGCCAATCATAAGACGTGTTACTAAAACACGTGACTTTAGGAAAACATTCGATTTGGAGGTGTCACTGCTTGATATGTGCAATGACTTCATTCGTTGTCTTGAAGTTTATTCATAACAAAACTGCCTCACTCATTCTTCTGCAATAACGAGTACCATTGCATAGAGTGAGACTGTAAATTGAGAAATATACACGCATGTAAAACTAACGTTACCTACAATGGTCGTGTGTGTGTGTGCGTCCGGCGAAATATGACGCAGCCCTAAATTATGCCAGTGTCACCGACACTGTCGGAATGCTTTTTAGTGTGTGCGTGCGTGCGTGCGTGTGTATGTGTGTTTGATGGTATCGATGGGGTGGTGTTTGAGGGAAGGTGGGATGTAACATTTTTTCCTGAGACGACTCCCCACCACCTCATCTTTATTATGGGGAACACAACGTTTCGGAGTATATATTATGCTTACTCTATCATTCACCTGATGAAGGAGTAAGCATATACTCCGAAACGTTGTGTTCCTCATAATAAAGAAGTTGACATCCTTAAATTCTCTTCCTTAACCACAGGTCAGCATGGTCATTCTGCAGCTGTGTTCATTAAAATCTTGTTTCCGCTCCAAATTAAGCGACTCGATCTACTTCATAGAATCATATTCACTGACACAGTCACTACACTGCTTCACGTATAGTATGCCACTAAGATATCTACAATGACACAGCAACAACACTGCTTCACGTATAGTATGCCACTAAGATATCTACACTGACACAGCAACAACACTGCTTCACGTATAGTACGCCACTAAGATCTACACTGACGCAGTCACAACACTAGCTGTTTCACGTATAGTACGCCACTAAGCATGTTAAGACATGTATACACACTGACAGTCACAACACTGCTGCACCTAATAGTACGCCACTAAGCATTTTAAGATATGTATATATACACTGACACAGTCACAACACTTCTTCACATATAGTACGCCACTATAAGCATGTTTCGATGTGTAGATACACACACACAGTCACAACACTGCTCCACGAATAGTACGCCACTAAGAAATATATACACAGTGACACAGTCACAACACTGCTTCACGAATAGTACCCCATTAAGCATGTTTCGATATGTAGATACACAGACACAGTCACAACACTGCTTCACATATAGTATGCCACTAAGCATGTTACGATATGTAGATACACAGACACAGTCACAACACTGCTCCACGAATAGTACGCCACTAAGAAATGTATACACAGTGACACAGTTACACAGTCACAACACTGCTTCACATATAGTATGCGATTAAGCATGTTTCGATATGTAGATACACTTACACAGTCACAACACTGTTTCACATATAGTATGCCACTAAGCATGTTACGATATGTAGATAAACTGACACAGTCACAACACTGCTTCACGTATAGTATGCCACTAAGATCTACAATGGCACAGTCACAACACTGCTGCACCTATAGTACGCCACTAAGATCTACACTGACACAGTCACAACACTGCTTCAAGAATAGTACGCCACTAAGCACGTTAAGACATGTATACACACTGACACAGTCACAACACTGCTTCACGAATAGTACGCCACTAAGCATGTTAAGATATGTATATACAATGACACAGTCACAACACTGCTTCACGAATAGTACGCCACTAAGCATGTTTCGATATGTAGATACACAGACACAGTCACAACACTGTTTCACATATAGTACGCCACTAAGCATATGTTACGATGTGTAGATACACCAACTCAGTCACCACACTGCTCCACGAATAGTACGCCACTAAGAAATGTATACACAGTGACACAGTCACAACAGTGCTTCACGAATAGTACCCCATTAAGCATGTTAAGATATGTATATGCACATACACAGTCACAACACTGCTTCACATATAGTACGCCACTAAGATACATATATAAACTGATACAGTGACATACACTGATACAGAGACATACACTTCTTCAGGTATAGTACGCCACTAATATATGTATATACACTGATACAGTGCTTGACTATCAGGCTTCTAATCTATTTTACTATTTATTAACAAAGTAAAATAAGTGATGTGTTGACATTTGTTAACATCATACATCTTTTCAAGGCATGCGTCGCAGGTGTCGCAGATGTTATATTGTGGTTTTCCTCCGAGGCAGCAAGTGGTATTTGCTGACACGGAGGAAAACTACAAGGTATGACCTTAAACCTTAGTCCACTATTATTTGACGTGGTCAATATGATACACTGCTATCCGGGAATCAGGTGATCACTAATATAATGTAATAGGGTCTCTGTATACACCTGTCAGATAGAGGTGTACTTGGGTATGGGTAGCCCTGTATACACCTGTGAGATACACGTGTACTTGGGTGGGGGTAGCCCCTCTATACACCTGTCAGATAGAGGTGTACTTGGGTAGGGGTAGCCCTGTATACACCTGTGAGATTACACGTGTACTTGGGTGGGGGTAGCCCCTCTATACACCTGTCAGATAGAGGTGTACTTGGGTAGGGGTAGCCCAGTATACACCTGTGAGATACACGTGTACTTGGGTGGGGGTAGCCCCTCTATACACCTGTCAGATAGAGGTGTACTTGGGTAGGGGTAGCCCTGTATACACCTGTCAGATACACGTGTACTTGGGTGGGGGTAGCCCCTCTATACGCCTGTCAGATAGAGGTGTACTTAGGTGGAGGTAACCCCTGTATATACCTGTCAGATAGAGGAGTACTTGGATGGGGGTAGCCCCTGTATACACCTGTCAGATACACGTGTACTTAGGTGGTGGTAACCCCTGTATATACCTGTCAGATAGAGGAGTACTTGGGCTGGGGTCCCCCTGCATACACCTATCAGATAGAGGAGTACTTGGGTGGAGGTAGCCCCTGTATACACCTGTCAGATAGAGGTGTACTTGGGTGGGGGTAGCCCCTGTATACACCTGTCAGATAGAGGTGTACGTAGGTGGGGGTAGCCCCTGTATACACCTGTCAGATAGAGGTGTACGTAGGTGGGGGTAACCCCTGTATACACCTGTCAGATAGAGGTGTACTTAGGTGGGGGTAGACCCTGTATACACATGTCAGATAGAGGAGTACTTGGGTGGGGGTACCCCTTGTATACACCTGTCAGATAGCGGTGTACTTGGGTAAGGGTTGCCCCTCCATACACTTGCCCGATAGAGGTGTACTTGGTTGTGAGTAGCCCCTGTATTATACACCTGTCAGATAGAGGTGTACTTGGGTGGGGGTAGCCCCTGTATACTCCTGTCAGATACACGTGTACTAAGAAGGGGGGGCAGGGGGGGGGGGGGGGGGGGGGCGTCCCTGTATACACCTGTCAGGTAGAGGTGTACTTGTACACATCACGAGAAGCAGCTTTACTGGTACTGTTGTTTCAGTGCAGCTTACTGGTTCTTTTGTATCAGTTGGCAATGTAACCTGATTTATAGTGTTGCTTCACTTGGCAATGCAGCCTCATAGGTATTGTTGTTTCATTTGCCAATGCATCCATATCCGTGCTGTTATTTTACTTGGCAAGGCAGCTTTATCAACACTGTTCTTAGTTTTTTAACAACAGCGTCTGCAATATATGTGGCGACAGTGACTTTGAATAGCTTCATTGGATGCATTGGATATAGGGTGTGGCAGAGACCATATATCGTTATCAGGTCTCTGGGTGTTGGAAGTTTTCAGGGTTGGAACGTTTTCTCACTTGAGTATTGGTTGTGTATGACCTGTGGCGGTGCTGGTGCAGCAAGACTCACATCCCGCCATGGCACTACTCCTCGTCAGGTCGGGCTGCGTCACCCACCTGTCTCGTGCAAGCCTCTCTTGACCTGCTGTTTATCTAGTTCTTCTGAGTGTGTAGGGTGATCACGCCGACGTCAGCAACACGCCACATGGTACTGTGCTGTCCATTACTGATGCTGTGTTTGAAGGACACCTTTTTTCGGGAACATTGTCTGTATATATGAACACTTCTCGTGATGTGTACAAGTACACCCCTATCTGTGACAGGTGTATATAGAGGCTACCTCCACCCAAGTACTCCTCTATCTGACAGGTGTATAGAGGGGCTACCCCCACCCAAGTACTCCTCTATCTGACAGGTGTATAGAGGGGCTACCCCCACCCAAGTACTCCTCTATCTGATAGGTGTATGCAGGGGCTACCCCCACCCAAGTACTCCTCTATCTGACAGGTGTATACAGGGGCTACCCCCACTCAAGTACTCCTCTATCTGACAGGTATATACAGGGGCTACCTCCACCCAAGTACTCCTCTATCTGACAGGTGTATACAGGGGCTACCCCCACTCAAGTACTCCTGTATCTGACAGGTATATACAGGGGCTACCTCCACCCAAGTACTCCTCTATCTGACAGGTGTATAGAGGGGCTACCCCCACCCAATTACTCCTCTATCTGATAGGTGTATGCAGGGGGACCCCCACCCAAGTACTCCTCTATCTGACAGGTGTATACAGGGGCTACCACGACCCAAGTACACCTCTATCTGACAGGTGTATGCAGGGGGACCCCCATCCTACCCAAGTACTCCTCTATCTGACAGGTGTATAGATGGGCTACCCCCACCCAAGTACACCTCTATCTGACAGGTGTATGCAGGGGGACCCCCACCCAAGTACTCCTCTATCTGACAGGTGTATACAGGGGCTACCCCCACCCAAATACATCTTTATCTAACAGGTCTTTATAAGGGCACCACCCGACCCCACCCCACCCCACCCCAACCCAAGTACACCTCTATCTGACAGGTGTATACAGGGGCTACCCCAACCCAAGTACACCTCTATCTGAAAGGTGTATGCAGGGAGACCCCCACCCCATCCAAGTACACCTCTATCTGACAGGTGTATACAGGGGCTACCTCCACCCAAGCACTCCTCTATCTCACAGGTGTATACAGGTGCTACCCCCACCCAAGTACACC